CCCAGGGAAGTGCCACTGAGTGATCGCCAGCAGGCCCTCTTCGACACTTTCAGCGCAGCTCGGAAATTTGGCGGCGCCAGTCAAGAAGATGAAGTTCGAGAGCCTCAAGCCAAATTCAACGCTTATGACGAGGTCGACATCGGACCTCAACGACGAGCGCGCAATCATGGTGGAGGATCTGTTGCTGCTTGAAGAGTGCGGAAAGGAGTATGAGGACGCGATTTACTTGGCACCCCATCGCGCGGAGACGATATGCGAGAAGAGGCTTAGTCCAGAGGGGCGCGAGCTTTCCAGCCAGGCCAAAGTTGAGGCGCTGCTGCCTTGGATAGATAATCGCGCATGGGAAAGAGGGCGCAAGGAAATAACCAATCGCGGTGGGTGTGTGCCCACGAGATACCTGCTCAAGTGGAAGCAGAAACCGGAAGGCCGCATGGCCGACGCAAGGATCATCTTTCAGGGCTTCAGGCACAAAGACGTTCTTACTCATAACATGGACGCCGAGAGCCCGACGCTGTCAAGGGTGGGCAGGAATTTGATTTTCCAGCTGTGTGTTACGAGGAAGAGGAAGGTGTTTTCAGCCGATGTTGAATCCGCGTCCATGCAGAGCAAGGACATCGAGAACGCCGTTTATGGAATGCCCAGTGCAGACATGAGAAGGAGATTGGAGAGGATGATCGACCTTCAACCTGATGAGATTTTGCGCATGAGGAAGCCCGCTGTCGGAGATGTTCGAGCGCCTAAGCAGTGGGGGCGACGGCAGACAGTGCTATGTCAGACAGGCTTTTCGTATCCCATCCACTGGGCAACTGCCTCTACTTGTCGACTCGTCTGGCCGCCGCGAACGACGACGATTTCGATGCGTTTCCGTGCAAATCGCAGAGGCTGACTGTTGATGGAGTTTTGGGCTTACGCGGTGACGGCATCATGGGTGGGGGCGAAAGTGTTGCATCGCAGCCGGGCGTGGCGCCGTATGACGGAGAGGAGCTGCGTGGTTTTGCCGACCGCCTGCGCTCTCTCAATGAGCGTTTTCGTTTTGGTAGTTGGGATTCAGCCAACGATTTTGTGTTCTGCGGCAGCCATTTTATCCAGGGCCCGTTGCTGAACGCATTCGACTTGTCGATGAAGGAGCACCTGCAGAAGAGAAGGCCCGTTGCGATCGACGTGGCAAGGAGAGCTGCGCCTGCGGAGGATTGCGCGCCGACCGAACATCGAGCCCTACGATCGTTTATTGGTGCTCTACAGTGGCCGGCTGCCCTGGGTGTGGTTTTCCTTTCGGCAAGCGTCTCTTTCGCGCATGTCGTCGGCGGCCATCCCAGGTTCAGGACGTGCTCGACATCTACCAGGCGCTGCGACTCGCCAAGCAGTGTTCCAGTGCCAACCTTCACTGCGAGGATGCTGGATCGCTGTCCCAGTGGCGTCTGGGAGTCTACTCCGATGTTTCGTGGGCCGCGAGACTTGGCGGGAGCTCGCAAGGCGGGTTCCTGATCTTTGTGGCCAGTGAGAAGTCAATTTTCGAAGGCTGTGCGATGGCTTTGATGATTCTTGATTGGGCTTCTCGTAAGTTGGACCGATTGTCTCGAAGCAGTCTGGCGTCTGAGGGCTACGCTGCAGCTGGCGCTGTTGACGCACTCGCGTGGGCAAAGGATTTTTGTGGGCTGCGTGATCGGCTCCGCTCAGTCGATTGTGGACGAGACTGCTTTGCGCGAGCTCGGTGTGTCAGCCAATGCGGTCGATTCTAAACGTTTGTGCGAAGCCGGTGTCTCTCTCGGCGGATGTTTGGGCATTGAGGAGAAGCGCGCGGCATTGGAGGTGAAGATAACTACTCAGCGCGCGAGTGCACTGCGTGGAATTCATCGTTGCGCGAACACGTTGCAGCAGCTCGCTGATGGTTTGGCCGAGGTTGCTGCTCGAGAAGCTTTCGCTGGGGCCATCCTGCGAGGATATCATGCGATCAAGTTCCACCCGAACTGTGTGGCTGGCAACGAGCTCAGTGCCAAGACCAAGCGTGATGCCGCGCGGTTGGATTTGCTCAGGAATGCGCGAATGCGGCGGAGCAGGCGGAGAACGACATCGAGGTGTGCGTTCGAGGGTTGTGAAAAAAGGTAGAAGGAGGCGAGGATTATATGGGTCAGACGTAGAGGTGCTGCAGTCGCCGCCATTTTGCCCCGACAGGATGACGGACAGTCAACGACGTAAGCAAGCATCTCGTTTCATTGCTACGATGGCCGTGGCTGGCCAGGTTGGAGTCTCAAAGGCGACGGAGATCGTGCTCAGCAGCTCGACCAGCACCGACAGACAAGCAGCTAGCAGCTAAGCTGAAATATGATGAAGGAGCATCTGCCAGTCGCATGTCCCCTTGGCAAAGCCCAAGGCCGCGTCGAGAGTTTCGCCGCGAGTGGTTGAGCAGATGCTGTGCTTTTGAGTCGACCACGGCCGCATCGTGAGGCCAGGTCGCAACGCCATCAGCTGCTGGCTTACGTGTGTGACCTGCAGGGCTCATTGACCTGGCTGATCAACGGCCAGGGGCCGCAGGACGCGCGCGTGTGCTCACGAGCACTGGATGCGTGGAGTGCTCTGCAGAGGAGTCGGCGAGGCTGAACGAGTATGCGCCATTTTGTCGCAACAATCTGCGGCGTAGCTCAGGGCACGCCCCCATTTTCCAGAATCTTGTCATCAGGTTCAAGTGTCTGCTCGGCGTGGAGTTTCAGTGCGGATATAGTGCTGGAGCTGTCAGGACATGTTGATTTGGTTTGCTGTGCTGCTCGTGCGTAGCGTTGCGTTCGTGGCTTAAACATTTCGGACGGATGACATTGCATGCCGTCTCATCAATGCATATCGTGTGTAGTTCAGTACATTGTGTTTGCTGAGTATGCGTTCGTGCATGCACGCAGCCGTTTTCTGTTCTGATGATTTTCATGGCGCGGTGCCCTGAGCCATGTCAGATTGGTGGCGAACTCATAGCTTAGCTGTGACAAGTGTTTAGTGTTCATCTTACTGGACAGTGACCGATATATCACAATACATATATATATACATATATGTACATACAAACATATACATATATATATATATATATATATATATATATATATATATATATGCACGCACAAGTGGCACGTGTGTGCCCAGGCTCATACAACAACTGAAGGGGCGTTTGAAGCAGGAGTGACATGCAACGGCGAAGTCGCACTCGAGCGCAAGTGGGGTTGCCACACTTTGCGATGTGTGTACCAGGCCCCCCCCCCCCAGCCTCAGGAGGCCCGACTTGGATACCAGAAAAGGCTCCAGGAGGCCCCAGGATTGTGTGTGCTGTGTGTGTGTGTGATGTGTGCTCTGTGTTGTGCGTGCTTTCTGTGCGTTGTAGGTGTTGTGTGTGTGTGTGTGTGTGTGTGTGTGTGTGCGTGTGTGTGTGTGTGTGTGTGTGTGTGTGTGTGTGTGTGTGTGTGTGTTATGTTTGTCTAGCGTGTGATGTGTTGGGCGTGACTTGTGTCTCTGTGTGTGCATGTAGTTCTGAGGCCCCAGGAGGCCCCAGGCGGCCTCAGGAGGCCCCAGGAGACCCAAGAGGCTTCAGGAGGCCCCAAGAGGCTCCAGGAGGCCGCAGGAGGCCCCCAGGAGGCCCCCATCAGGTTTCAGGAGACCCCCAGGAGGCTCCGAGGCGGGGTCTAGGGTACCAGAAGGTTCAGAAGGCCCCAGGAGGTTCCAGGAGGCCCCCAGGAGGCTCCGAGGCGGGGTCTGGGGTACCAGAGGGTACGTCGGGGCTCGATTTTGGGAGGATGTTTCAGGCGAAACCGCCATTCTCAAAGAATCGGGGTCAACATCATTGAAATTACCATGTGTTTTTGAAGGTTTTAGGTTAACATGTTGAAATTCCCATGTGTTTTTGGATCCTGACGTCACGATCTGCGTAAGGGGTGCCACCGATTTTCAGAATTTCGAGGATGTCCCTGCGAAACGGCCAGACAAATCGCGGACGCGGCGCCCCGCGTACGCATTAATCGCCTCTGAGCTCTACTCCCTCGGAGAGGTGCGTATGAGAATGTATGTATGTATGTAATGTAATGTAATGTAATGTCATGTCATGTAATGTAATGTAATGTAATGTAATGTAATGTAATGTAATGTAATGTAATGTAATGTAATGTAATGTAATGCAATGCAATGCAATGCAATGCAATGCAATGCAATGTAATGTAATGTAATGTAATGTAATGTAATGTAATGTAATGTAATGTAATGTAATGTAATGTAATGTAATGTAATGTCATGTCATGTCATGTCATGTAATGTAATGTAATGTAATGTAATGTAATGTAATGTAATGTAATGTAATGTAATGTAATGTAATGTATGTATGTATGTAATGTAATGTAATGTAATGTAATGTAATGTAATGTAATGTCTGTCTGTCTGTCTGTCTGTCTGTCTGTCTGTCTGTCTGTATGTAGGTATGTATGTATGTATGTATGTATGTTTTATATATATATATATATATATATATATATATATATATATAATATTCCAGACACCTACGGTGACAGCATCCTGGACTTCGAGGGCTAGGTGTTTCGGATTGTTTTCTGATTGTTACCGGGGACCCCCCCTCCTTCAAACGCGATTTTGGACCCTGGAGTAGGGGGGGGAGGGATAGGGGGACAGCCGAATGTCTCACACGCCTTTTCACCCCTGGTAAGCGGGGCTCGCTGGATGTTTTTTTTGTTGGGGAATCCATCGGCGAATGTATGTGTTGATCGATCTCCAAAAGTGGTTATGGGTTCCTTCCTAGACATGCGGTGCTTGTGTTTTTTTTCACACGCCGTCTCCAGAACGCCCGATCCTTTGCGCAGGGCTGGTTTTTCATTCCTTTCGCTTGCTGACGGTCTGTAGGCCCAGCGAGGGCCCCACAGTGGCCGACAACGATAGCAAAAACCGTCCGTCAGTCTTTTGGTTTTCACGACCCGAGCATTGATGGATTTAGATTAATCGCAGGAGGGGAGGGCAAGGACAATGTGAGCCAGCTTTTCATGCTGAACCTCGTGATCGAGGGGTCCCTCCTGGGGTCCGCGCTGGACCCCGCGAGCAGCCGCTCGGAGGCGCCGCCGCCGCCGTCGGCGACGGCGACGGCGACGGCGATCCCGAGGCCGATGTCGACGACGACGACGTCGACGACGACGACGACGACGGCGACGACGTACAGTCACCGGCGACGACGATGACCACCCAGGAGGAGGAGGAGGAGGAAGATGATGATGAGGAGGAGGAGGAGGAGGAGGAGGAGGAGGAGGAGCAGGAGGACGAGAGAGACAGAGAGAGAGAGAGGCGACGACGACCTTGACCACGTCGTCGCATCACAGGTTTCGGAGCGCGTCTGCAGCGCTTCCCTCGCCGCTTGCAGCTCCTCTGGCCAGGAGGGCTCCCGATTTGGGGTCTGGGGACCGATCCTTCGGTATCGCCCAAACACAGTCAAACTATGTCTTCGTCACCCCCCATGGGGCGACGCGTGCAGACATCTTCCAGTGTGTGCTGCGTGCCGGGCGCTTCCTGCCCCTACCACGTGGGTCAGCGACGTGCTACAAGATGTCGGTGTTGCCTGCTCGGCTCGGGCGTGCGCCTCCCCCGAGGGGGGGCGCGCGGTGCCAGCACCGAGTCGGGCGTGCCCCTCTCCGGGAGGAGTACTCAAAAGCAGTCCAGGAGCCACCCTGCGAATCCCCAAGCGGCCCCATGAAAACTGCAGAGACCCTACCGGGCATTTCGAGTTATTCAGTAATCGCGCGCGCGCGTGTGTGTGTATGTGTGTGTGTGTGTGTGTGAATGTGAATGTGTGCTTCGCGTATCCCCACCAGCTCCTGTCTGGTGCCGGCCTCCACTGGTGACCGAAAGGGTTCGGTGGGGTCTCGCTACGCTGCCGTCCTCCACGGTGCAAGGACTTCGGCATGTGTGGCTCTGTGCGCCCGTCGGTTGCTTTCTCCTGTGAGGACTTCGCTTTCGACATGTGCCACTGCTGTACAAACAAGAGGTACTGCCGTTTGCAGTCGTGTCTGTGACGAGGTTGCCCCTCTTCACTCCTGCGCTGACACGATGCAGTTGTGTCGCCTACAGCACGGACGTCGTTCGGGTGTGCCTGTCGGTCTTGCTTGTATCTGAACGGCCTTGTGCCGGCTCACACCGAGTGATTGACCTCTGCGTGTTCATGGTCGCGCCGCCGCGCCATTTTGGCTGCGCCTAGTTGGTGGTCGCCACCGGGATCTCCACGCCACCGGGTTGGGAGTTTCGCTTTTCGCTCTTCTTCTGAGTGGCTGCCCGCGCGCTCGCTTCGCTTGCCTCTCTTTTCTTGCTGCCAAGTCGCGGTTCGGCTAGTGTTCGGACGGCTTTCGACCTGCTCCGCGAGCCCGCAGACCAAATAGTATTCCCACCAGCCCATTCAAAAACCCTGCCCATGAGAGCTGACGTGAAAAGGGACGAAGAGACGCATCTAGGGAAACAAAGCGAGCAACCAGGGTGAACCGAGAGATCTCTGGGAGCAAGAGGGTGGCCTTGGAAGGCCTCTTCGGGCCATCCCTGGTGGCCGCGTGGGGGCGAGAGGAAAAGGAGGAGGAGGAGGAGGAGGAGGAGGAGAGGAGGAGGGAGGAGGAGGAGGAGGAGAGGAGGAGGAGGAAGAGGAGGAGGAGAGGAGGAGGAGGAGGAGGAGGAGGAGGAGGAGGAGGAGGAGGAGGAGGAGGAGGAAGACGAGGAGGACGAGGAGGACGGATGACGCGGATGAGGACGAAGACGAGGAGGACGCGGATTAGGATGAGGACGACGCGGACGAGGACTCATGGAATCATCTACAGGTATTCTTGCGGCTGCTACTGCTGCTGCTGCTGCTGCTGCTGCTGCTGCTGCTGCTGGTGCTCTCTGGGAGTTGCGGGTGCCCTCTTGGGGCGCTCTAGGTAACCCCGGAAGGCTTCTTGGGATCATCTTGGTGGCTATCGATTGCAGGATAGGGGGAGTCCCAGCTCAGCTCCCCCCTCAGGAGCCAGCAAAACGCTTCTTGGGGCTCTCTTGGAGCGCTCTTGCGCGCTCTTGGAGCGGTCTTGGGGCCGTTTGGAGCATCTTGGGAGCCATCTTGAGCCAGCTTGGGCTATCTGAGCCATCTTGGAGTTCATCTTGGGCTCTCTGAGGCCGCTCGGGGACCTCTTGGGGGCCTCTCGGGTGCCTCTTGGGGCCCTCCTGGGACGCTCTTGGAGCCCTCTTGGGGCTCTCTTGGGGCTCTCTTGGGAGCCCTGGAGCGCCTCTTGGGGCCATCTTCGAGGCTATCGATCAAAAGAGGGACGGTGCCGATCGGCTCCCCCCCTCGGGGGCCACGATCCTCCCAGGGGCCGAAAAAAAGACCCTCTGCCACCGCGCGAGACGCCCCGTCCAGGTCCATGGGAGGGGGTAGGGGGAGGGTTAACCCCTCCCCGAAGGGGAAGAGGGGTTTTTGGAAGAGGAAAGAAAGAATCTCGTTAGACCGCCTACGCCCAGAGGGCTGGTGGGATTCATTGCTTCGCCGATCGGCGCGGGCCCTCGCACCCCCCCCGCCCGCCCCCCCCCCGGGAGTGGATCTTGGCTGTTTCGGGCGCCTGTTTCGAGCAGGTGGAGTCCCTCCCCCACAGGACGCCCTGTTGCAAACGGCCGCACTAAGCAGAGGTCCGGAGCCACACCCCCTGCTCCCCGCCCCTTCCTCCCAGTGTCGAAACGCCGAATAAGCAAACGCTCACCAGATCGCGGTCTTCCCTCGTCCCTCGGGGCGGGCGCACGCCCAATCCACTTCCGACGCCTTCCCTACTTCGTGTTCCTGCCCACTTCCTGTCCGCGGCGTACCTTTTCCTGTGCAAGCTCTTCGGCACCGCCTGCACCCCGGGCCCCGCCCACTCCGGCCGCCTGAGGCCCCGCCCGCCTGTGCCCTGTCTCCCTAATTAAAGCTGTGCGTAGCCCGCCTAGCTTTTAGCGGAAGAGGTTCGCTCTCGCCCCGCCGACCAAAAAATCATGTTCTTGCCAATTTCTTCCGACCGTCGGGCAGTGATGTCCTTGCCACTGATCCCCGCCCTGCTCCTTCCCGCGCCAGTTCTCCTGCAGCGGGCGGCGGAACTGCCTCCTTGCGGAAACGGCCCGCCCTCCGCCTCGGTAAGGGGGCGGGGGCGGCAGGCTCGGCGCCAGTCTTGGCCTCCGTGCTCAGCGCTCCTTTGACTACGCCTCGTGCCGCTGCGGCACCTTGCCTGGCCGCCTTCCTTCCGTCTGTCCTCGTGCCTGCCTCGGGGTCTTCCCCCGGCTTTCTCTTCATGCGTCCGTGGTCGGAGGCTCAGCAGCAAGTGCAGTCCCAAACCCGCAGCGGCTGCTGTTGGGCAGGTGCCCCTCTGTCTCAAACGGATAATGCCGCCCGCGGCGACACCGACAGTGATTTCAGAACGGGCAGGAACTGCTGTCGGTCTTCGTCCCCATTCTTCCCGTACCCATTTCGATCGTACCCGCTGTTGACTGTAGTAGTTGAAGCCGAGGCCGCCCCTGTCGCCCCCCTCTCACGGCTGCTGCCTCTTGGGGAGCCCGGGACCTCGGTTCCCCATGCGGTGGACGTGCACGCGCTCTGGCATCGGGCTCCCGCACCCGCTGTCTTCCCCGTCGTGCAGAGAGTGTGTGAGGAGAGCGTGAGGCTGGAAGGGGACGGCACTCCCGCCCGGCCCAAATTCGACCGAAGTCAGTCCTCAGACCCCCCTGTCCCAGCATTCGGGGGCCACACGCGAACCCTACCCCTACCCCCCACCAATTTCTGAGGGGGAGGGTGGGGTTCACTTCGTGCGGGCGCTCCCGAGCGAAGTGAACCCCACCCTCCCCCTCAGAAATTGGTGGGGGGCAGGGGTAGGGTTCGCGTGTGGCCCCCTACCTGTCCCGGCATCCCAGCCATGCGCTGCCCTGCCTTTTTCACTGCGCGCGCCCCCCCCCCCCCCCCCGACGTTCCGGCCCTCGTGCCCCAGGGCTGGGCTCTCTTCCCGAGCAGTTTTTTTGTTGACCGCCCCCTGGCCCAGCGCGCGGGCCCTCGGAGGCCGGAAGACAGCCAGAGCAGCCCCGCGCCGTGTTCTTTCCATAGGACGCGAGCACGTCTGGGCACCGTTCGCCCTCACGTCCGCGGCGTGCCGAGGGGGGAAGCCAGAGGGGGCGGGTTTTTTCTCAGACGGCTCAGAAGGCCTCCTACCCTGAAGTCGTTAAGTCGGGCCTGTTCCTCTACAGAAGGAATATTCAAAAATAGCCCCCCCAAAATGTCTGGGGACGGTTTTTGTATGTTTCTGCGTATTTATTGAGTTTTTTTTTGTTTTTGTTTATTTATTGAGTTTTCATTTTCCGTCCAAAATCCGCCTGTAGGGGGACATGCCCGACCTGATCCTAGGCTGCCGAGGAGCTCTCTGAACAGCGTCCCCTGCCACAGGAGGCTCCTCAGGAGGCCGGAGGGCCTCCGAGAAGCCCTTCCGCCTTCTGGGACGGCGGGCCCCTCTCACTTCCCACTTCCCCCCTCGGCGCGCCGCCGAGTGTGGCTTTCGGGTCGGGACGATCCGGGGTCGGATCGGTCGGGACGATCCGGTCGGGACGCTCCGGGGTCGGATCGCCTCCCGGAGCTGGAACACCGCCGAGCACAGACGAGAACGCCCGAGAGCCTCGAGCCTCGAGCCCGAGCCTGCCAAACTTCTCCTCCTCCTCCTCCTCTCCTCCTCCTCCTCCTCCCCTCCTCCTCTCTCCTCCTCCTCTCCTCCTCCTCCTCCCTCCTACTCCTCCTCCTCCTCCTCCTCCTCCTCCTCCTCCTCCGCCTCCTCCTCCTCCTCCTCCTTCCCTCCTCCTCCTCCTCCTCCCCTCCCTCCTCTCCTCCCTCCTCCTCCTCCTCCTCCTCCTCCTCCTCCTCCCCCTCCTCCTCCTCCTCCTCCTCCTCCTCCTCCTCCTCCCCTCCTCCTCCTCGTCCTCCTCCCTCCTCCTCCTCCTCCTCCTCCTCCTCCTCCTCCTCCTCCTCC